TTGGAAAAACCGAGCAATGCTTTTTTCGCTGAGGATTTTCACTTGCGAATGTTGTCAAGTAGGCCAAATCACAAAACGCGTACATTCTGCAGTTCTTTGGGTGGCATCATAGAAATTGAAATCAAAGTGTAAACTTTCGTCCTTCGAGCTGCCGACGACGAATAGGTCCTTCAATCCTCCTCCGCGTCAGCGCCATTTGTTGAAGTCCGCAAAGGTCGTCACGGTGAAGTGATCAGGATAAGTGCGCTGTAATGGAAACGTTGTTGATCTGTAATATTCCATATTTTAGCCATGACTATGACACATGAATCGCTCAAAACCCCACCAGGAGGGGCTTGATTTCAAGAACAAGCATGCCGTACGCATTGAGATTGAAGTGCTTGGGCTTCTTTGGGGTTTTTGCACCCCTCACTCAATGAATAGTTCCACATATTGTGTATCGTCGTTGGTAGCGAATGCTAAGCCGGATATTTCGTTGAAAGTGGGATGGCAGTGTTTAGCTGCGAAAATTCTCGGTAGAAAGCAGAAAAGGATGGCTGTATAACGGAGATTGCGTGGATACTGCTTTCATCTAATCGAGAAGAACCCTCCCAAAGCTCCGCCCTTTCTTAATGGCTGGTGCGGCGCAGAAGGCAGCTTCGCCATTTCACCCTTGCTCCGCAGCTCCACTGTGTATATCTGTGGTGGGGTACGGATGTGATGCCGCTGCTTGTCGGACGATTACGAATATCTGTCGTCAGTGGCACAGCATCACGGTCGCGACTATGAAGACATGCTGAACCATCCGAAGCAGTCTCAGGACTTACTTGACCAGAAGGTAATAGACTCTATCATTCTAGAAAAGCAGTGGAATTGTTTACAGGAAAGCAAGGAATTCCAACAAGCTATAACGACGGAAAAAAATTCTCGACTCTTGAGGCTCCACGCACAAGTAAACGACAGCAAACTTCAGATTTCACGCATTGGAAACCGATATGTACTGACGTACCTCATCCACAGATCACAGTTAAGGTTAGAGGAACAAGACAGGGCTGACTGCAAAATTAGCTCCACAATAGAAAGCCTGAAGGAGCACACGAGCAGACTTACTCGCACAATAAACGAGAATCCAGGAAAAGGGTAAAGCGTGAAGAAAACGATCCCAAAAGCGGCCATATAGCGCAGGAGCAGGAAGAATGGCTGCTGATAAGTGTCACGGCGCCGACTGTTACGAGATGGAGATGGAGATCCTCCGTCAGCACCGTGACGAGCTGGAAAAGAAAGAATATGAGCTGCACGAGGCACTTTAACGGTTTCCATCAGAACCTTCCAACCACGCCGTCTTTCGACAGACCATAAGTGTATTTACTGCAAGGCCGTGGGGGATCATTCATGAAGGACCATTGTCCAAGTATAAGTAAGGCAGAGGACAGATTAAAATTTGCGACTGAATCATATAATGCACGGGACTGCCTGGAGTGAGAAATGCTCGATTTACGAGAACGAATGCTGTCCTAATGCTATAGGAGATTGCTTCTACTGTGAAGCTGTGAGAAAAGACAACACTCGAAGACCTCTCACACAATCAAAGAGAACATCACCCTGCACTCTGCCACGTACCAGATAGGGGGCGTGTCGCACGAAGGAGGTGTGAAGCTGCACGAGAGGACTTGCGTAGAGTGGAACGGGAAATCACGCGCAGAATGCTAAGGCGAGAACAGCTCTTGTGGAACGTGCAGCTATCAAATACAAAAAGGTAAGCGTATTCCTACGAATCTTTGGACTACAAGTCCTTTCATACTGTTGCTCAGTACGAATGTAGCTTGAGGAGATTACGTTCAGAGGTCGGCACGACGGCTCGTACCTGTTGCTAAACATTTCGTCGTTCGCTCTCCGCACAGTACTCAATCCATTCGACATCCTCTTCCTGACATACTTATTTGGTATACGCTACCGTCTAGATTGCTCGAATTATACTAACAAATTCAATAAAAATCCAAATATCCATCTCACACATAAGGACGTTTCTCTCATGATTCCACTTGGCTTAGGAAAGCTTGAATCCTGTAGTTTGTCATACCGTGTTCAGCTTCCCATGAATTGCAGGTATGAACAAGTTATGATCGTTTAAAGTTAAAAAGTCGTTTTTGAAAAAAATAGTAACACCGTACAAATTTTATTAAATGGGGGGTTTCAGAAATTGTGAGCCCAAGGGTTGGAGAGAGAAACTAACTTGGAATATTTTCCAAATCAAATCACTCCGGGCGCAGAAGCTCGAACATGAAGGAAGTTATAGCCCTAGAAAAGGGAGTGAAAAATTGTGTGTTCCTTTATTTTTTTTGGGCTATAACTTATTCATTCCGAAGTGTTTGAGAACAAATGAGCACTCGTTAGGAAGAAGGAGCCACGTCGATCCAAAATCCACCTGAATCTTCCGAACTACCTGAAATGTAAAAAAGAAAAACTCCTTGAATCTTCACATTCCCCGTGCGACGTCTCTTCACCGTGAAAAAAAATGCGCTCCACCGTCAGGGCACAGAGGGCGCCATTCAGCACATTTGAACGCTTCATGGACCTGTGCGTTCGAATGATTGAATCGGCTAGTGATTTCTCTCTCAGTTCCTTTCTACTTCACTCCTTGTCATTGCGCCACAGCTCTTCAGCTTGTTCCGGAGTAGCCTCAGTATTTTCGATTTTAGCCCTCGACTGTGATCTGCTACGACATAAGCCAAATCCGTAATTGATTTCCGTTCAGTTTTGTTTTCTGTTTTGTACGTATTCTTTGCACCCACGGATTCCAAGCATTATCAGGAGATTGCAGAAACCTCTGAGGATTCTCGGATTCGTTTTAGAAAGTAAGCCTATTAAGAAAGCTTAGCGAGCCACTTATTTATGATTGCGACAAATGTTTAGTCGATAAAGAATGTTGACAACAAAAACGATGAAAGTATGGAGAATTTATCATTGATCAGTATTTTTCCAAAATGCGCCCTGCATTTGCATTCGACTAGATACTTTTTGGAATTGTTGAGGAATTTTGAAGGCGACTTAGCCTTCACAGTAATTACAAAGGCTAAGCGATGTGCAAGTCAGTGTTGAGTACCTCTAGGCATTTGTGTTAAGCTGATGTCAGCACTTCCAGCTCCTGTGGTCCACCGCAGGTTTCGCGAAAATCGCGGAAATCGCGCAAATCGCGCAAATCGCGAAAATCGCGAAAATCGCGCACACAATTGTGGCCAGTTTCGTGGGCGAGCTTCTATTAATTCTTATCATTGTGATCGTCGCGATCAAAGTTTATTGCTTGGTGAGTTTTATAATGGTCCCCTGTCCGACTGCTTATTGAGTGGAAATTTTTCAGCTGAAGTGCAAGAACAAATACGTTTTCATGGCCAGGACGGGCAACGAAAGGAGGGCAATCCCACCAGCGTAAGATTGGTTCTTGGTATCGTGTATCGTTAACCCCTCGAAGAAGATCCAAGAAGGGAAAAAAAGCAATCATTCTACTCATACGATCAAGAATTGCAAATTGACGTTTCATAATGTTCTGATACTTTTGTCTCAATAATTCCTCGGACGTTCAGGTTTTTTTCCTGACACCTCACAATTTTTTGTCAGGTAATGTTGTCAACATTCCAGTCACTGGTTCAGTTTATTTCATCTCCTAGTTTGGTAACCCTTTGGAGTACACGGATATCTTTGAATGCATCTCATTTTTTCGTGTTTGGAAGCAGCGATGAATTTCTGTCGTGGATTTTGCTAAAGTTTCATCTTTGATGACTTACGTAGAAATAAATATTGATGGTAAACACTGTCTCTACACAAGTGTTACATACAAGGGGGGGGGGGGGTCGTATCAAATCACCCATGAAGGGGGGGGTCGTAAAAAATTTCCAAAGAGTAACAACGATAGGGTTGACCCTGGTTGGTGCATATATGAGGAGCCATAAAAGTCACTACCCCATCACTTTGGAACGGAATTAATTGCAATTCGCAAAAATTAAACCGGATGCCCGAAAGTGATAATTGAAGAGCGTACCGCAATCTACCAGAAAAAGTTCACAGCGGCCTTCTATACCGAAGATTTCAGAAAATTCTCCACGTAAACACGATTTTTTACGGTTTCATATCGGAGGTCTCACTAATGCAAATGGCCCACCTTCTGTAGTGGAAGCGCTATGACTTGTTTCTCGTAATTAGTTGCCTGGTTACTGCTCCCAGTAGTGCATGTACGTAGTACTTCGGTGCACATACATTCATTCGTAATCGCTGCCCTTAGATGCCTTACTTCGATTCCTACTTCTGCATGTACCACTACGTGCAGAAGTCGCTCATGCAAGGAGCCTTTTCTTCAAAGAATGAGTTTGGAATAATGACAGAGCGTTGTATCAAAAACAAATGTTTATTGGTCATAAAAACCAAAACACTGAAAGGACTAAGGAGTACATGTAGTTGAGCAGCATGTACCATGCTCACTTGCAGCAATAGGCGAAGTAGCCATTATTGAAACAATCTGAACCGCTTGGGCAGAAGTTGTGTGCGCAGTCTCTTCCCACGAGTCCCTGAAGAGATTAAATGCTCAGCTCAATATTCGGAATTGAGGTAGGATTTCCTATTTTGCACAAGAAATCTTGAAAAACAGCTTACTTCTTGCGCCGATTCAGTTGTAATGTTCTCAAATGAACGGTGGGTGGTCATTCAGCCAAATACCTTGGTGGTCGCCTTGATCACCCTGGTCGTGCGGGAAAGTACCGTATAAATAACGCATCGCACATTGGAGGGTCGCTGTTCTCTTTTGGATCTCTTTGGCCGAGATGGCGCCTGTTCCCCCTTTTTTTTCCTTGATCTCCGAGAGGAATTGATTTCTCTTCTTTACTCTGTTTCTTTTATATTGTTCCTCCGAGTTTGTTGTGAGTTTGATTAATAAATTTTTTCGGGCGTCGCTTTGAACGCTTGGAGAAACGCAGGCAGTAACCCGACAAGGTCGAAACTATAGAACTCGCTCACACTAAAGGCGATTTGACATGAGCGACGAGGAAATGGAGCAAGACGGAGAACAGGTCGGGTTTCTTTCCGATCCAAGAATACAAAGTGAACCACCGCTTCTGAGCGAGAGCGCCGCTATTACAAAGGCTTGTGATGAAGCCCTCAGTAACAATATTAGGAATCTGTCTGGACCCAAAAGGGCAGCCATTTTGAATGCGGTGGAGGCTGCCGTGACAGCTGTGAGGGATGAGGTAGAGAGACCCCACAGCGAAATAAGAGATCTAAAAGAGTTTCTGTCGGAAAGCGGGCTATCCGTTCCACAACTACGGTCAGTGTTGCAGGAGGCAGAGATTAACCTGGGGCTAATCGATACATTGGCCGGGGTGATGAAGTGTGGACGGGCTCACCTAGCTGATGCGGTGATAAGCCTACAGCAGGAAAGAGATCACTTGACACATAAAGTGACGCTTTTGCAGGAACAAGTCAAGAGATACAGTCAGCCGAGAGCGACGGTTGAAGAGCGCCCAGAAGAAGCGCAAGGTAAGACGTTTTCTTGGCGGAAGCTCAGTGAACGATTGATATCGTCCATCGAACATAAAGACGGACTGAATATGCAGGTGCCCGGCGAATCTCATGGGAAGACAGATGGACAGTGGAAGCACCCGAGTCAGGACTTGCAAGGAGGATTGCAAGATGGTGCGAGAAAATATTCCCTGTCCGAGAAGACGAGTGAGTCTGAACTATCTTTCTATTCAGAAAAATTGGAACAGAATGACCCGTCGTCCAGGTACAAACCCCAATCATCCGAAATGTGGGATATTTTCAAGGCGATGCTAAAGCTCAAACCGCAGCAAATGTTGAGAGGTATACAGGGAAAACTCGTTGAGTGACTTCTTGAGAGCCTTCAATATAAAATATCCACAACAGTCTTGGAGCAACCATGAGCGGCGTGATATATTGGTGTCCCTGCTAGATGGCCCAGCTAAACTAATGTATAGCAACCTTTCGAGAGGGATCCAGGAAGGGTCATTTGAGGACATCGTAGAAGCACTAGAAAGGGCTAGGAGAGACCCGTGTAAAAAGCTAAAAAAATAGAGGAGTGGGACAGGCTGCGCAAAAGAGACTGCGAAACAGTTGAGGAATTTTGTTATAGAATGGAATCAATATCGAGGGAAATTCATAGCGATGGTGACAGGGATTTCCTTCTGGGTTCCAAGCTGCATACATGTCTCTCAGATTGGAATGATTCCTACCACATGTTAACCGCACTCGAAGCTCCCAATGGTATGGTTTACCAATCAGTACGTAACGCGGCACTGAGACTTGAGCGAGGGCGCGAGGCACTCCGGGCAAAGCTGCAATCACAAAAAGGTCAGAGACAGGACCAAATTGATCCCAGTAAGCATAGGGGGCATGGTAAAGCTGATACTGGAGAGGTGATGCCAGGAGACGGAACAAGTGGGAAAAATGTCCCTGGGAGGAAAACTAAATGCTTCAGGTGCGGAGAAATGGGACACTATGCGAGAAATTGCCCAAATGCTAACGCCCAGGTGTCATCCCCACGCAGCCGACGACAGACAAAAGCGGAAATCAAACGGTGAAAAGTCCAGTGGGATCATTTTCGGCTCACCTAGAGAAAGTGGTGTGGCGCAGTGGTCAACGGGGATAAGAAAGAAATGGTGACTGAAGCATACGGGAAGCCACTCATATGCAGAGTGCAGATGCTCGGCATGACGGTAGATGCTATGATCGATACGGGATCAGTAGTGTCCATAGTCCCCCTTGGTCTATTGTTGGAAGCGAAAAAGAAAATGATCGATTTGGACAAGCTAGTGACCATAATGGGAGATGGTAATTCTCAAAAAGTCATGGACGCCTCCGGAAACACTATGAGCTTTCTTATGCTCATAGCCACAGAGGTCAATGTACAGGGAGCAGGTCAAGCTTGCGTACAGCTGCACATTCAAAAAAGTAAGGACCGCGTAGTACTGTTAGGGATGAATGCGCTGAAGGCGCTGAATATCCACATCCAATTTGGTGAGCACAGGATGCAAGTAAGAGACCAGGGGCGGAAAAAAGTAAGCGGCTTAGTAAAGGCAATTCATAGGCATGTAATTCCGGCAAGAGGAATTTCCACAGTAACAGTATCAGGTAATACTGACGCGGATGAGTGCATTTTCTGGTCCAGCAACAGTCGAATCTCCTCAGGTGTGTTAAAGGTATCACATGGCGAAGCACTAGTGTCTGTTAGGAACAGCACTATGGAGCCGTGGGTTATTCGTGAAGGAGAAACACTCGGCAAATGGGGTGAAGAGGAATGGCACGATCCCAGGACCCGAGACCTTCCTGGAGATATGCTAGAGTTGTCCCGCAATCTCCCCCGAATAGAGGCTAATCGGACTGGTGACCTTTTAGCAATACTAAATAGCAATCACAAGGCGGGACAACTCCCGGAAGAATTAGCAACACTCATAGCTGAGTATGAGGACGTATTCGCCATATCTGACTTGGAGCTCACCCAGACGGATCTGGTACATCACAGCATCGATGTAGGAGGTAATTCCCCCGTGAAGCAGCGCACTCGACCCGTGCCTTATGCCCTTGCGTAGCCAAGTGCGTGAAATGCTAGTCGACCTGAAAGGGAGAGGAATCATTGAGGAAAGCTCCTCACCCTGGGCTTCACCAATAGTACTGGTGGCTAAAAAGGATGGATCTATTCGGCTTTGTGTAGACTACAGAGAGGTGAACAAAAAGATCAAGAAAGACAGTTATCCCCTGCCACCCATCGATATGACACTTCAGAATCTTCGTGGAAAAAAGTACTTCACATCGCTGGACCTAGCGAGCGGCTACTGGCAGAATACCTTTAGATGAGAGGCTAAAGAAGTCAGCGCATTTACCACGACGGCTGGATTATTCCAATTCCGAGTGCTCCCTTTCGGCCTTTCGACGGCACCAGGCGGTATTCCAAAGGTTAATGGAAAAGGTTCTAGGATCACTTATGGGAGCATAAGTGTCTGATATGCTTGTGGCAACAGAGACGCTGGAGCGTCACTGGAGGTTTTGGAACAGGTCTTTCAAGCACTGCGTAGAGGCACATTTGAAACTCAAACCTCAGAAATGCCGTATTCAGAATTCTATAGAATTCTTGGGCCATGCAGTGGATCAGGACGGACTGCGAACAGACCCCGGAAAAATCGAGAAAATTCGCGAATACCCGCAGCCAAGAAATTTAGCGCAACTGAGAACCTTCCTTGGGATGACAGGCTACTACCGAAAATTCATTTTTCGGTATGCACACATAGCGCAGCCGTTATACGATCTTACAAGTACAAAGTCATTATTTTTGTGGTCAGACAAGCATAGCCAAGCATTCGCAACCCTGAAGGACCTTCTGACCAAAGCGTCCAGTTCTGGGACAACCCGACGTCGAGGCTGCACGGAACGGAACGCGCCCCGATGCTAGTCGTAGTGGTGTCGGCGCGGTTCGGAGGATAAGCTGATTCACCCTCTGCATTTCGCGTCCCGAGGGTTATCCCGAGCTGAGAGGAATTACCATATCACTGATCAGGAAGCGCTTGGCGTCATGTTCGCAGTGAAGAAATTCCACTATTTTATCTATGGAGTGCGTACCATCGTGAGAACCAGACCACGCCGCTCTTACTTCGCTTATTCAAACGTGCTAACGTCTCTCCACGTGTTCTCAGATGGGCACTCGAGCTACAACGATACGATCTGCAGATCGAATATGTAAAAGGGTGCAGCAAACAACGTAGCGGACGCACTCTCAAGAGGAGCGGTTCAGGGCAAAAGCGCAGAAGTGGTTAGGGACTCCGAAATGGAAAGGGTCGTAGCAGTAGTTAAAGATCTGGACTGGCTCGAGGAGCTAAGGGAGGATGAAGAATTCAAGACGGTGATAAAGTCCGTAGAAGCTCAAAAAGACGACGAAATCAGGTTCAGACGGCATGCAAAAAAAACTCACACCGCAGACTTCGAGCTCAGCGATGGAAAGCTACGCCTTGATTCGTGAAGACGGCTCCAAAGTGAACGTGATACCCAGGAGCAAACGACGGGAGCTTTCGCGGAGTCGCACGAAGGAATGATGGGAGGTCATTTCAATGCTGAGAAAATGATAGGCTCAAATGGGAAAAGTGGCATTCTGGCCAGGAATGAAACAAGACATTGTAAAGTGGTGTCAGGAGTGTCAAACATGCTTCGTGAACAACACACATAGAATCAATACCCCTCCACTGAAACCGCTCATCGTCACCAGACCCTTTGAGATAATAGGAATCGACTTGCTTGAGATGGGCACATCAAGCAGAGGGAACAGATATATAGTGACGATAATTGATCACTTTACAAAATTTTTGGGCGCATACCCAGTACCAAACAAGAAAGCCGAGACGGTAGCGGAGGTTGTTTAGTCAGTGGATCTGTGGCACAGGAAGGTGGCCCGAAACAGTGCTATCTGATCGGGGAGCAGAATTTGAAAATGCCATCGTGACAGCACTGTGTGACATAATGGGCATCAAACAGCAGTTCACCAAAGGATACTGCCCCAGGGAAAATGGCGTAACTGAAAGAGTAAATGGTACCATTGTTCGCATGCTAAGAAAGAAAACGATAGTGCCAGCGGAATGGGATATCATACTACCTACCGTTGTCTATGCTTACAACGCATGTCCGCACGAAGCAACAGGGGAAAGTCCCCATTTCCTTCTGTACGGCCAAGACCCGAAATACCCATCGCAGGTTATTCCCACAGAACACCTATCACCCTGCGCAGTGGATTATGATCAGTATAAAACCGAGTTTTTAGCAGGCCTAAAACTTGCGCGTGAGTGTATATCTCTTAATTTGGAAGAATATCGAAAGAAAATGAAAGAACAATATGACAAACGTTTCAAAACTGACAAGGCTTCAATAATAAAGGAAGGAGACCGCGTTTATGTAAAAGTTCCACATGAAAAAGGCAAGGCATCCTATCCAAAATTGGCTACGGATTGGTCGGGTCCTTACAGAGTCATAGAAAGTGAAATTTCGGGATCTCGAAACTCTCCAGTGGACAGCCTATTGTTCGATAGCGTCTATAAGTTGGCTCGTGTTGCCACGATTATGTCCCAGACCCATACCTCGCTGGAAATGCGGATGGCCCGCATACTAGATCCTTGCTACGACGCGCTCTCACCTACAGGACTTGGATTTGCAATTTCCTTCTTTTCGGCCAAATGCTTACATGTGATGCAAGGGATGCAGGCCAAGATTTTCCACAGGACACCAAAACTGCGAGCCTCATCCTCGTCGTACAAATGAAGATCCGTACGACCTGCCAAGTCTGTTCGATTACGCATGCAGTTGGGCGCAGGCCCATCCATGGAGCGAAGACTTGTGGAAAAGTTTACCACCGAAAAAGTCCTTGGTTCTGTTACCATTCGAGTTCAAAGAACACGTTTACTCGATACAGTCGCACTGTCAACTGGTACATGTATATTCGAAACCGGATGACGTGCAGGAAAGCTGGTGTCAAGATGAATATTCCGCCGTCGTACTTTTCAGCCCTTCGAAGGCCTTTGATAGCGGAGCGTGGGCCAAAGCATGGCAACTTATACTTGCAATGATTTCGGACGGAATCGAACTTTTCGTCTTGGGATGCCCCCGAGACAGCAGACAGTGGCCGAAAGCAATTGATGGATTACGAGATATGTGCGAGGAAACCGTTGCACAACGGCCGAAGTTGCAGAGTAGAATCAAATGTTTGTTGATGACAAAAAGTGAAGAAACTCTCGCACTACATCCATGTAACGTCATTACAGAGAACACAGGAATGCGCTCTTACCCGCCAAGTGCGGTCAAGAAGTTCTACGAAGCCACACGCGCGTTCTGTATAGCGCATATAAGGCTCACGCCATACTATGAAATACGGACAAAAGAAGAAGCTCAAAGAAATAAACCGTGTCTTATGAAGGAGGACAATGGGCAAGAAGAGAGGTACTATCAGCACGGAAGACCACCCCCGCGATTCTGCCCGAAGAAATGCGGATTCAAGAAACCATACTTCCGGAGCCACGACCCTCCAATGAGATACAGACGTCCGAGTTCTGGAAACTATCGCGGGCCTAACCCTAGGAATGTCGGCGAACGGTGGCCCCACCCGAGAAAGAATTTCTACAGAGGCTGAGTGGAACAGCCTTTTCTATGGGGGGAGGCATGTAATGAGAGGTGGTCACCAGCCCAAAACGCGGTGGTCGCTTTGACCACCCGGT